CATAAGTCCCTCCCCACTGCGCCTGCTCAGTGCCTCCTGGTGGTGGTCGTCAGGGGTTGTGGGGATGAAGGCCGATGGCTCCTCTTCATCACTGCTAGTAACCCCTTGTTCTTGCGCAAACTCAGTTGCTCCTTGGCTCTTGCTCAAACCACACGGTTGGTGTAGACCAGCTCTTGAGGTAAACACCTGGTTCTTATCAAAAACTGTCCTTTGTAAGGAGCCACAAATCTTCCTGCATCAATTAGTTCTTATTCCTTCTAGTCTGGCAACCTTGGCAAACTGTTATTATCTTTTTGCTTCATCCCCTCCTGATTCTTCCTGTCCTTGAATAGGTTCTAAATTCACTAAGTAACTATGCTACAGACTCTAGGGGAAAAAAAAACCCCATCCAAGCTAGACAGTACTGACTTTAGCAAAGCAACAGCAAGCTAGACAATAAGGCCTAAATTTTAGGCATGTAAGCCGTTTTACATCTGGGGTCTTTTGACCCTTAAGGTATCACCAAGGCAGGCCCTGTGCCCAGGAGGCCCCGGGACTGTCATTGGCCTTGGTGGCCATGCCCTGGGCACAGCTGCTGGGCCTCCCTGAGTCATCCGCTGCTACTCTGCTCCCAAGGCCAATCCTCATTGTCTTCCTTGTCTTTCAGTCCATGGCAGAAAGTAACCGGGCAGCCCAGAGACCACCGCTATTAGCTGTCCATTCTCTGCACCACAGGTAAGGCCATGAGTACATGCAGTAAGTAGGACCAGGGACTTGATCCGTTTGTACTCCAAGACTTCTCTGGGTGAGCAAGGTGCATGATTTCAGCAGCAGCAGCCTGTAGGAAAGCCAAAGTGTAACCAGTGCCATAGGTTTTGATGGACGGTGCCAAGAGATTGCCATGCAAACAGCATGGGCTTTGAGAAAGAAGGGAGCTCAGGTGACACTGGTGTGGTGTAGAGGGCAGGCAGTTTCAGACATAGTGTTGGATAAGAAATCAAATTGGCCAGGATGTTTGTAAACACACTGAAGTCACTAGCAGTTTTGGTGTAGAAAAATATAGATCTATCATATGCAGTTTTTTTTTTATCCTTGTGCGCTTGACAAGTAGAACATGAGCTTTGATTACATAGACGTATGGTAGGCTTAGATGCATCCTAACATGCTTGAAATTCCTGCCCTGTTACAAAGAAGATCAAAGCACAGTGGTAAACTTTGCCTGCATGAACCCGTGATAAACAGGCAAAACCAGCAGGATCAGTGATCCTCCATCCTGGACCCAGCTCTCCGGTGCCTGTATCCCCACCTGCGTGCCTCTGCCCAGGTGGTGCTTCAGGGATCCCCTGGTTCGCAAGGTAACGGAATTAAATGTACTTTTTGCAGTTCATCTGTGGTTTTGTGGTTGTTCTTGCATCCTGCCTCACACAGCCGCTACACCTACCCCAGGCGGCACTCCATACGCCCTCTGCTCGGGGAGCATCACCAGCCCTGCAGCCTCGCAGTGCGCCGCGTCCAGCATGACACGTCTCTGCTCGGGTCACAGCGAAGCGCTCACCGGTGGAGCCGGGGGGGCAGCGGCATCTGCCGATTTCAAAGGTTGTATTTCACTTCGGGAGCAGAAAGTCAAAGCGTTCAGAGTTACCTGGGAACTCGCCCCATTTGAGAGCGGAGCTCGCGGCCCTGCGACGCCAGCAGCTGTCTGTCCGTCTGTCCTTCGAAAGGTGCGTGCATGCCCGGAGGCAGCACAGCCCTCCTCGGTGGGGGACAGAGTTTATTCGGGCTCGACACGTCTGGACTCTGCTCTGCCACAAGATGTGCAGTGACTCCAGAAGCTGAAATGCCAGTTTCATTTAAAGCTGTAGCATTAAGCAAGCAGAGCGTGTTTGAGGAGCTGGCGGGTTTTGGGCTCCAAGCCAGCTGCGTACAGGCAAAAGGGCCTCCTAAAATCCTCCCTGCGGCAGCCCCCTCGGGAATTAATGAGCAAATCCGGAGGAAAAAATTAAAACCCAGCGCACGGAGCAGGTAAGGCATAGAGCGCGCCGGGTCCCTCCCCTTTGCGCTCCACGCC